TCTCTTGGACAGGAGCTTTTTTTCCCTCAATAAATATATTCTGCTAAAAAAAAAAAAAAAAAAAAAAAAAAAAAAAAAAAAAAAAAGGCTCTCTTCTAATTTGAGGCCTGGTGTTGTTATAGGCAGCTGAATGAGATAGAAGTATTATAGACAGTCAACAAGGCCAGGCCCTGAAGGAGACAATATGGAAGACAAGTTGACTTTGCAACTTTGGAATAGACAGACACTTCCTTTTTGGACCATACCTCAAGACAAAAGTAAACAAATGCAGCCACATACTTCCCTAGGGATGGGCATCAGGGACTTATATTCTACATAGGTGTCAATCACCTTGAAAGCGCCCTAAAAAGTCACTAAGCCAACCCCAAAAGGAAGAGACCCTGTCCTGTGTTCATGCCTGCTTGCTAAGTGATTCACTTCCTCATTTGGTACTGGAGTTAATCAATTTTACCTGAGCAATGGTGCTTGTAATCTCATTGGTTGGACATAGTTTTGTCTCATACATTTTGAAAAAAAAAAAATATATATATACACTTAAATTTTTATTCTGCCTTATTTATCCCTGAGTCAGCTGTGTACTCCTGCTTTGAAATTGCATGTTGATGGGTGCATAGAAAGGAAATCGCAAATCTCACAATTGTCACTGTAGTATTCTTTGCACACCAAGTGAGTCTCAGAAAAATGTATGGAGGCAGTCTTAGATTTTCTTCTTTAAAATAAAGCAGTTCTTTTTAAGAACTAAAAGAATCCCAGAAACACCACTGGCATTTTGAAAGATCGGATGCAAGTTAGTTTTACCACTGTCATGTGTTTGGTAAGGGTGAGATACTCAAGGATTAATTAAAAGTACTGTTGAGTTAGAGTTTCAGAATTGAGCTACTAGAGAAAATGTCATTGTGTAAGTAATTATGCTGAGCACCGGGTGTCTTTGGTTTTGTTTTTGTATTGCTAGGATTGAGCTGAGGCTTTCCCACCGAGCTATATCACCAGCCTAGTTTTTATTTTGCAGCAGTGTCTCATTAAGCTGCCTCAGCCGGGCTCAATCTTGCAATCCTCCTGCACCACCACACCTGGCAGGGAAAGCTATTTTATGGTGGAAGTCTGAAATTCTCCTCATGTCTACGGAAAGCTTCAGCTAGCAATCCAGTCTAACTTAAGAAAGTGGAGAGATAGAGGGGAATTTTTTTCAGAGAGAAATATTTATCATTGAGGTAAATTTAAATGAGTTAAATGAAGTATAATTCACTAAGCAATATGTTTTTAAAGTGAACGAAATTTTACAGAAAGAAAGAAAAAGAACTGAAAGAGAGGAGAAAAACCAAAAGATGCTGAAAGGGGAGGTTTCCTTGTAATCAGTCTTGATTTGTCCACCCACTGGGGAGTTTCTCCAGGAACCCTGAAGAAAGAGGGGCACAGAGTCACTTTTTATACATAGTAGGTCCCCATTATCTGGGGATTGTGTCCCAGAGGCTCCCATGTCACTGGCTGTTGGGAACTCGAAATAGTGTTAATAAATGGGATGCCTTGCACTGTGGCATGCTATACCCGCTTTTCGGCCCGCTAAGCCGCTCCACGGGCTCTTCCCTGGCTACTGATGTGAGGCGAATGAGGAGACTAACTAGGCCCCAGTACAGCACAGTGGACTGAGCTGTTGTGCTTGGAGATGAACATGAAGATCAGAAGCATATGAGTAAGTCCATGGGAACTCGCGCGGCTCCTAAATCTTTGCGGAGCTGCTAACTGTACTGAGTTTGGAGTCAGCAGCTGAGGTCACCAGTCTCTCTGGACTAATTACGAGTTGCTGGAGGCTATTTAGCCTCCCTACAGGTCAACCCGGTCAAAACAGATGCTCTTTGGAGCATTGCCCTGAGGATTAAGGCAGCATTTTGCACAGCTATTACTTGTAACACATTATTAATAATATATTAACATATGTTATGTATTAGGAGGCTCCTCCTGTGATGAGAGATGATTATCTGTCACACAGATGCTGACGCACAGCTTTCTACATGGTCCTCTTTTCTCCCTGAGAGTAACTTTTCAGGACAGAAATTTTTATTGCATCTTTCAGTGTGAGCAAGTCACCTTGAACACAGGCTCTGCATTTCTTGGTTTAGAGACGTTGATGTGTTTTCCTCAAGGACATTAGGGGTTGAACATTTCACTTCTTTTTTTTTTTTTTTAAGCCTTTCTTTCTTTTCTGTTTGTTACAGGCATATAGATAGCCCAGCTCTGTGATTGCCTGATTTGACTCCAGACAGCTCAGAAAGAAAGAAAGGGGGAAGAACAAGAAGGTTAGCGAAAATTCCCTGCAATATGGGATATGTACTTAGCCAAATATTGGAACTAAAGAAGAGAAACAGAGAGGGAAAAAAATACATACATACATACATACATACATATATGAAATGGCATGCCTGAGGTAGAGGAGGAAGGGAGTAAGGTTGCATACAAAGGTGGAGGCAGGGGAAGATGCCCTGTGCGTAATGCCTCCACTTGACCAGCAGGGGTAGGGCCCTAACTTGAAGCAGCTGAGCCCACCTGAGGCAGGACTGCATTTCTTTTTTTTTTTTTTAAACTCTTTTTTTTTTTCTAATTTTATTTATTTATTTATTTATTTATTTATTTATTTATTTATTTTGTGTGTATGTGTGGCCAGCTCAGCCCACCAGGGGGCGGGGCTGGCTGGCATGTGGTGCTGGGGGATTGAACCGCGGTCCCTCTGCTTTGCTAAGCTTGTTTTAAGTAGGTACTTTAGACCACTGAGCCATCTCACCAGCCCCATGGACTACATTTCTTGAGCGCTACTCCAGGGAAGAAGGTGCTGGCAGTGCGCGGGGGTTGGGCACCCTGGGGAATTCCCGCCCCTGGGAGGCTCAGCTAGCTACCAAGGCCTGAGCAATGTCCCTCGTCAATCCAAGAGCTCAGACAAGGCCTCTGGCACTCCTTTCTGCCTCCTCTGAGCCTGGCTGTTCTACGACTTGCAGTAATTTGCTGCCTCAAAGTCCAGGACTGACAAGAGAGTGGAGCCAGACTCCAGAGGAAGTGTCTGGTTTGGTTAATGAAGGATGAGGCCTTTGTAGCTCTTGGTCCTATTTCCTTGGTCTTTTTCTTGTTAATGGCTTTCTGTTGCTGTAAAGACAAAGTATAAATACATCAAAGTAGTATTTCAGAGGACCAGTGAGTGGGCTCCTTCTTTGCTTCCGATTGAAGATTATCGCATCAGCGTGTGTTTCAGGGCCCTGCATTTAGGTTTTTGTTCTTTTGGGACAGGGTCTTGCTGCACCTTTTGATAAAAAAGTTTATTTCTATTACTAGAATTATTTCTACTACCCTTAGAAAAATGATGTTTTGTTTTTGTGGTACTGGGGGATTGAACTCTGGACCTCATGCTTGCCAGGGAGGCCCTGTGTAGCTGAGCTGTATCCCCAGCCCTGAAAATGATGTTTTGATGCTTGTAAATTTTTCATTTATACTTTGGATTCTCCTGGGTTAGTAACTAATTAGGCTCCTGAAAGTATAGCTAGACTTAGGGTTTCCCCCACCCCCCTGTTAGTCTAGAAAATACTATCCTCTATATGGAGGGAAACTTCTGATATGATTTCTACTGTTAATAATTATGAGATGCACCCAAGAAAGAATGATTGCCCACAAATGCTCCAATATTGAATACGATTTTACTTATTAAAAATCCAGATTGAGGGCCGGGGAGATAGCTCAGTTGAATAAGTGCTTGCCTGGTAAACACAGGGCCCTGAGTTCAATCCCCAGTACCGCAAAAAAATAAAAATAAAAATAAAAACCACATTGAGCTGGGTGTGGTGGTGCCTTCTTGTAAGCCTAATACTCAGGAGGCTGAGGTAGAAGGATTGCCAGAAGTTTGATTTCACCCAGCTGACACAGTGAGTCCAAAGACATCTTGACCCACCTAGCAAGACCCTGTCTTTAAAAAAAAATCAAGGTATCAAGATTGACAGTTTAACAATGTAATTATAATTGCAAGATCCCCAAGGCAACTTTCACCATAGCTGTTTGGGCATTCACTTTGCTGAATAAGCCAACTGTCTGTCTGATCGCTACTCTACCCCGAAGTCCAACCACCAGCACTGATTTGGGGAAGCGTCGCTCTTGCTAAACCAAGAAGTCAGATACTCAGGTTCAGTGTGATGTTTCATGTTGATTTTCAGCCTCATGAATGTGAGCAATGCTGAGATTAGTCTAGCGCGTTCCTGGGTGTGTCTGGGCGTGATTTGGGAGTATGCCCTCACCCCCTTCCTCTCTAGCTCTTTGCCTGTCTCTCTCTTCTTTCTGGATGCCAGGAATTGTGTGACTTCCACCGGCCATACCCTCCTACCGCAATATTTCTGCCTAGCAGTGAGCAGGCCTCTGAGAATGTGAACCATATTAAACATTTCCTCCTTTAAATTAAGTGTGTCTGGCATTTTGTCCCAGCACTGGGAAGGTGACTGATGTAATCAGATGACACCCAGAACCAGGCTTTCCTTGGGGAGAAGGATGGAAAGGGAAAGGTAGGAAAATGAGGCCAGGAGAGAAGCATGAATCCAACAAAACATCAAAGGTGCTTTGCTGCCTCCATGAGCTGCAGAGGAAACAGCCGGTAAGCCCAACTTCCCAACACACCCCACCGGCAACAGCGTACCTCTGACGTGCTGGGTAAATTTAATGATAACTGCTGTTTCCACTCGCCTGGGCTGATAATCTTAGCTGCTCTGCTGAGCCCCAACATGTTGACACAGGGCAGCAGTGAACATGTAGAAGGTGGTCCTAAGGGACCTGAGATCATTTCCTTTGGCTCTTCAGATAAAGCTGCATTTGATTTTCTTGATGTATTCTTCCTGTGCCCCCCGGGTATCTGTGGGCACAGGAGCCCTGGCCTTTGAGGTGAACGCTAAGCATGCTGGGAGGGTTAGCTATGGTCTGCCCTCTGCAGGACAGTTCACCCAGTCGCGTGGTTCTTCCAACAAATCGGAGCTTGGAATTCTGAGAAAATGAAACGGACCAGACTGACGTGTGTTTCAGGGACACCTGAAATACAGAGCAGTTTCCACCGGCTGTGTGAATTCCTGCTTCCTTTTTCTTGCTGTTGAAGAGCTCTGGGGAAACTGTGTGTGTGTGTGTGGGGGGGGGTGCATAGCCTCTCCATCCCCCACACAAATGTGATCTAACTTTCCACTGGCTGTGACCTGCCCTCCTCCCACTGTACTTATCAACTGTTGGATGTTTTTCACTAAAAGAAAACAAATTGAGGAATGTGTTTCCCTGCATACTAATGAAATGGCCGAGCCAACCCAGGGGTGAAGAGAAGGCTTTCGGACCAAGCAAAATAATGATTTTCAGTGTCTGACCTCCTGGCACCACCGGCTATTTATCGGGAGTCGCATGTGACTGGCTAAGACGCCGAGCCGGGACTGCAAGGAAACAGCTGCTGCTGGTGTACTCGCTCCTTGGCAGCTGGACAGGCAGCACACAGTGAAAAGCCGCCCCAGTAAGTAACTGAATACTTTCAAACTGCGTGTGTGCGTGTCTGCTTGCACAAGCCACCAGCAAGTTATTTTATTTTGATTTTGTTTTCCCTCCGCCACTATAGCAGGAAACACCTTATTTGTACTTGTTTAATAGCCATTTGTGTTTTTACTAGCCATTGAAGAAGCTGTTATTTTTAGCACTGTCGCCCTCTAATCTTGAGGATGAACGTGGTATGTGCCTTTATTTCTGTCTGTGGAAGGAGTTTGTTTTCAGGTGTCGGATTTTGATGGGCCATAGCGCTGGGGCTGAGTCAAGATTCAGGTAAAATACCAATAGAAGTGGGCTGATTAGATTAGATTAGATTTTAATTAATTTTACCATTTAAATTTGAAAACATAGTGGTTTAAAATCACTGGTGAATTTATTGTATGGCTGGCTCGACCATTTCTAGTTGACTAGAAGACTTCCACTTCATGTATAGCTGGCTGTACTATAGAGAACTGACAAGGCAACATTTGATTAGATTAGAAATCATCTTCGGACTTCATGCATATTTTCCAACTCATTGAAAGCTGTGTTGATAGCTTTCTTCTTCAGTGATTTAACTCACCCCCCGTCCTCCCCCCCAAAGCTAAACATCTCTGGCTGCTTCTGATCTTCCTTGTTGTAGTGTCTTTGTGATGTTTGGGCTCTTGCTCTTCCTTTGTGACGTGGATTATAAAGTGCTGCCTGATGCTCATTGTCCACACTGGTGACCTGACATGCAGAGGCCTGAGAGTGTGCCCCTTCCCAGATCCATCCAGCAACAGGGAGCTTCCTCTGTGGAGAACTGCAAAGGGTGCCAGACGGGGACAGAGTTTAGGGGTATTTGTCCTTCTCTGGTGGGCGTCAGCCAAAATGGTTAAGAGGAAAGAAAAAGGGGGAAAACTGAGAGGGGTGAACTTGGAGTAGATGATGTGACCTCTAAGAGTGACAGGCCCACCATCAGAGGTGCGGGAAGATGGCCAAACAGGCTCCTTTCCTGGGTTACACATACAGTATTGGGGGGAGCAGTGGGTGGTTATTTTCATCTGAATTCTTGTTACACAGCGTTTGGCTTGCAGGGAGCTGAGGGTGCTCTGATATTCCCTGACTGCAGGGCTACTGAGTAGGCTCACGTTGTGCAATTTGCATGTGACTTCTGCCCCTGCCCTGAGGAAACTCCTCTCTCTCTCCTATAGCCAGCCACCCTTTGCTGGATGTGGAGATTGGATAGGAACAGACCAGGATGTGTTGGTTCGGCCACAGAACTCCTGCAGCACAATTGGTCTGGAGGGCCTCCCTTGCCGGAGGAAGCAGCCTCAGATGCCCGAAGGAGGAAAAATTGGCCAGTCTAGCAGAGAGGTGTTCTTCCCTTATTCCTTAAAATATAGAAGAAATCACAGTCTTGCATATCCAATGAGAAAAAAAATGGTTGCAACTCCTCTGTTCCTCTTTCTATCATTTGTGTGAGGGGTCCTTGGGTCAGCTGGCATCTGCTGGCCTGTGGCTTCCCTGTCTGACTGCAGAGATTACCTGCCATGCTGGGTTATTTTCTAAGGCGTTCATTTCTGCCTCCATGCCCTCGTATGTTGATAATGGAAAGGAACTCTCCAGTGCAACCATGTCTTCAGAAAGATACAGCCTGCCCCAATAAAATGCAATATCTAATTGGGTCCAAACTAAAGGCTCTTCTCTAAAATTATGACAAGATCACTTATGGCAATTTATAGGGCAAGGTGTAGTTCAGTGGTAGAGCATGTGCGTACCATGTGCCAGTCCCTGAGTTTATTGCTAGCGTTGGAAATGTAAAACACACCTATAAAATGGGCTGCCTAGCCTGTATGGTGGTACATACCTTTCATTCTGGCTGCCCATTAGGCTGAGTCAGGAAGATTGCTAGTCTGAGGGCTACCTAGAAAGTTCCAGGCAGCCTAGACATAGTGAGACCATGGGGGTGGGGCGTGTCTAAATAGGAATCAGTGCCTCTTTTGAGTTATCTAACTTTTAATTTTTTGAAATCTCAAAGATCTTGAGAAATGCAGTGACTTTGAAAAGTGCTAATAGCACCACAATAAAAGCAATGACTTTACATGCAGGTAGTATATCCCTGTAGTCCAAGACTTTTAAACCTGGATAGGAATTATGAAATGTTCAATGTAATGGCTTCATTTTGGAGATGAGGACATTGCAATAAACATATCTGAGTCACAGCAGAGAACCGGGAGACAGTAGTTGTGATACTGTTACAGGATATTAATTCTGGTAACAATAATGTGCATTTATTGTGCACTTACTATGTCAGATGAAGTGCAGTTTTACAGAGTCCCCACAGTAACTCTGTGTGCTCTATGACTAGGTGGGCTCTGCTTTACAGTCCTTCAGCGTAACAAGTTTTAATGTTACAATGATGTGAAAGTGATAGGGACCAAGTAGAAACTGGACTGTGACTTTTAAATTTGGCTTTTTTCACCTGAACTAGTGATATATAACCAGGAGGTTTCATGACTACAGATGATGGAGAAAAAAATCAAGCCCCTGCAGTGCCCAGGTGTGTTAAGCAGGGCTGTGCAGTAGGTGAGGTGCAGGAAAGTGCATTTTTGACCAACCATGTTTTCAGCTTTTGATGGGTTTACTTCCATGTAGGCCCACTGTAGGCAGAGTCGTGTTTGTGCATTATGATTGTTCCAGTTTCACACAAGGAGAAATGAAGGCTCAGAGACCCCCTAGGTACACACAGGAGTGATATCTAGATCTGATTCCAGCACCTACACACATTAAAAATAAAAGTAGAGGGGGCCGGGGAGAGTGCTTCCCTGGTAAGTGCATGGGTCTGAGTTCAATCCCTAGTTCTGAAAAAAAAAAAAAAAAAGTAGAGGTTATGGTGAATCCTACACATTTAAACTTAGAAGGCCATGACATGCAAATGAGAGAAGTCCCAGCATAGTAAGCTTAGAGGCACAGTGTGTTATGGGCTTTCTACCCTCTGTTGTCACAGGTTCCCCTGTGACAGTATGAGCCCAGGCCATATAGCAGCACTGACTGCTGATATATTTTTCTCTTTTGAGACAGAGCATAGGGATGGCTTTTGAAGAGGAAAGGTCAGCAACTGACAGCTTTGTCACTAGGCTGGAGCACACTGCTTTCTCTGTCCCCATGGCCTTTCCTGTTTTTCCTGTCACTCCTTTCCTTTGGAGGACAGCTACTCCACCCTTAGCTCATTCCAAATTGCTGGCTTAGTGTTAGTGAAACCATCATGCAACCTGTTCCTTATGGCTCAGCCTGGAAGGCTGTTGGTGCTAGCAGGTTTGTTAATGAAGAGAAACAGGACAATCCTTCACTCTGTTCCTCTTTGCTCCTAGGCATGTGTTGGGTTGGGGGTTGGCTTCCAGAGCAGGGGATTGCCTGGGAGGGAGGAGATCTGTGCTTTCCTCTGCACTCTGTGGAACTGCCTGCACCTGCATTTGCTCCAAATAACACTTTTTCTCCCTACTGCTACCTAAGCGCACTGTTTGTCTTCTCTCACTAGCAATCTGCAAACTCGGTGCTTTTCTAGATCTCAAGGCAGAGGCCTACTTCTTGAACCCTTTTAGAAGTTTGATTTGGGTATCCACCTTCCTCCTCTTGGTTAAATGTAAAGACTGTCCCAGTGGAGCCCTGGGTGAGAGCACACGAACAGCAGCGGGGTTTGGAAAGTCCTTTGGTTGATCAAGGGGGTGGGGGTGGGTGGGTGGAGCAAGCACGCAGCCCATGCATGGGTGACTTTGAGAGATTTATCCATGTTGGTTCAAGCTCATCACAATAAGATTGCAGTTTTGCTCTGGTGTGTGTGTGTGTGTGCGCGCGCGTGTGCATGTGTGTATGTGTGTGTACTAGGGATTGGATTCAGGGCCTTGTGCATGGTATGATTATTTTTTTTTTTTTGTGGAGGGAGACAGGATCTTACTATGAAGTTCAGGCTGCCCCTGTACTCATAGCATAGTTCAGGATGGCCTCAAACTCAAAGCAATCCAAATTCTGGAATTACAAGTATGTGTGACCATGCCTAAGAATATGTATATTGAAGATAAAGCTATTCACATAAAAGGAAAAGTTTAATTTTAATCCCACCTGCTAGATAGAAATTAAGCTCAACTCAATAGTAGTTAATGTATACAATCAGGTAAACTGGAATCACAGGGAATCACCTCCAATGGGGGTTACAGTCACCTCAGTAACCTTGGGAGATTCTCAGGAATTACTTTTAAAAATATTTTTGGTCTTTGGTTGAATTTGTGGCTGGGGAACCCAGGGGGAGGATACAGTACCTCTCTAAACCTTGCTTGGAACTTCTTCTTTCTGTGGATATTGATATAATCCAATTGGTGTTATACAGAAACACATGAAATGGACTCAGAATTTTAACACAATGCGCCAGTCAAACTCTAGGGCTGATCTGAAGCAAAACAAAATACTTGATTAATTTTGGAGGAACTTTCACAATAAACAAACAAATTCTGTGACGCAGTGCTTATTTTCTTTGTTTGTGCCACAGGGTCTTGTTATGTAGCTCAAACTGGCCTTTAACTCACTATTGTAGCCCAGGCTGACTCCAACTTCCAGTCTTCCTGCTTTGATTTCTCAAATGCTGGGATCACAGGTGTGCTCCACCATATCCAGTTCTAGTTCTAGTGTTTTAAAGGCATTTGTTCCCAAGGAGTTAAAATCCCTGGAATCCCCTTTCCCAGTGTATTGCTCACGGATAGCCCTTGGTGTTAAATGCTAGAGTGTTGTGTTCTCACTGCTTTATGAGATTTGGTGTTTTCCAAGTAATCATTGTACTTCCAGTCCATGATTTGATCTCTGAGCCCATCGTTGGCTTTAAGATAGACCTCTGCAATTATATGGGAATCTAGTGACACAAGGCACTTCCTTGTACTTTGTCACAGTCTGGTGAAAGAGAAAGGACATCATTACCATTGTGTACAGAGAAAATAAGAGAAAGCAAGTAACTTGTCCAGG